CCCGCCACCTCCACACACGCACATGTACATTGTTTTGCCCCCAGGAGTTTTGGCCGTCGCATTGGGGAGAGAGAGAGATTTTTAGCAATACCAAACAACAACTCTCACACTCACACGTCATTTGGGGCCTGGAGCCCTGTTCACGCGCGCGCGAGACGTGCAGACAGGGTTGCCAGGTGAGAGCGAATGGCGCGGTTCACGCCTCGCATTGGTGTCCGCTGCTGCCGCCGTCGCGGTTTGATGTTCCCTCGCAAGGCCTGAACATTGTCGTTCTCCCCCCACCGGTGGTTATTTTCATGCAGTCGATAGCCTGATTCTGTCGACAGCTGAGTCTGACGTCCCAAAATGGGTGAAATGGACCACTTGCAGGTGGCTGGCCGATCAAGCGGCAGTTTTTGCAGTCGAAGCCGCAGTTGGCGGTTTTGGACCCTCCCTTCCAACCCTTTGATCCGACGACAACCGCGCCTCTGCATGTTTTTCTTTTTCAGCTCCCGGCGGCCGGCGGTGGCGGTGTTGCCGGCGGAAACGGCGGCGGCTCCGGTGGCGCCTTGAACTCATTCGGGCAGGCCGTGCCATCAAATTTCTCGATGACAAAGACGTCGATCTCACGCAGCGCGATCTGGCGGCCCGTGCCCGGCAGGGTCACGACGACATAGCGGGCAAAGCCGTAGCACCTCAGCGAGATGGGGGTGTCCCCCGTCCCGAGTTGACTATGGGCGAAACCCTTGCGGCACGCCACCTACGACGCGGTGGGTGCGGTGTCTTGCCGACACATACATCGCGGAGATCAAGCCGTGCTACAGCCGGCGACAGCCGCCGCAGCGCGCCTTGTCCGAGGCAGGAAAGGGCGTGCTGGCCAGCGCAACCTCGAAGATGCCGAGCGTCGAGGACTTTGGCAAATCCGCTCGGTCGTAGACCTGCACCTCGTACACCTGCAGAGGCGCCGCGAGAAACAACGCGCGAGGACGTGAGACGGGGCGGCGGCGGTCGAGCACGGCGGGCGTGAAAGGGGCGATGGGGTAGAGTGCCGCACGCCTGCTGCGTCGAGCCCAGGTCGAGCTCGATCCAAGGGTCCTTCAGATTTGTCAAGGTGTAGGCCACAGCCCGCTCTGTTCTTTGTTTCCAGAGCCGGAGATGATGTTGGTCGTCGATGAACGGAAGGACGGGTGCGTGGCGCTCATGCTCGCGGAGACGACACAGGAAACTCGGTTTCGGACCTAGGAACAAGCGAGAGTGTCACGCGTGCCGGGGAATGACAGATGGAGCTGGAGGGTGTGAGATACGGGGTGCACTGGTAGAGGCTGACCTGAAGCACGGCGGGTTTGGCGGCGGGGGAGGGGCGAAAGGGGGCGCAGGCGGCTGTGGTGGGTCCGGCGGCGGCACTGGCGGCGCTGGTGGCGATGGAGGGTGCGGCGGGGGAGCGGGCGGCGGCTCGGGGACCGGCGGAGGCGGCGGAGGCGCGGGCGGCGCGGGAGGTACCGGCGGCACGGCCAACGGCGGTGACGGCGTCGGAGGTGGGGGCGGCGACGCGGCGGAGACGGTGGCGCGGGTGGCGAGGGTGGCGGCATCGGGGGCGCAGGGGGCGAGGGCGGTGAGGGCGGCGGCAGCGGCGGCGGCTCGGGACGAGGCGGCGGCGGCGGCGGCGCCGGCGGGGCTGGTGGCGTCGAGCTTTGCCACCAAATGCGCCTCTACGAGGAACGTGCCGTTGTGTGACCATGAGCGCACCATCGTGGAGCTGGAAGAGCGCCTCCTCGGTCCTGACGTTGACCGACAGGCGCGGCGTGGAGAGGAAGTTGTAGAGAGCGTTATGGCGGCCGCGAAAATCTGCTGTGCCGCCGTAGGCGAAGCTCAGGTGCGGGTCCTTGAAGACGTTTGCCGCCAGGCAGGGATCGAACTGCTCCGCAGCCGTTGCCAGTACATGGGGGGAATGATTCGCAGACGGGGTTTTCCACCGAATTCGGGGAAGTCCGATTTGGGGCAATTTTGGGGCAACTTTCCGGTATTGAGTTGCTCATCAAGCGCAGCGGCCTTGGCTGCTGCGCCGGCGGCCGCTGCGCTGGCCGCTGCTGCGCCGGCTGGCGGGCGGCACGGCCGCCGGCGGCCGCTGCACCCGCGCCTTCCCTCGCGGGCGCCGTCGCGCCGCGCGCGCCCAATTCTGCTGGTACACGGCACGCGTCGTCACACAGCCGCGGAGAACAGGCGGTGCTGTGCGCGAAGCGCGCGCGATCTCGTACTTTTAAGGCTGGATCCGGCCATTCCAAGGGTATTCCTTTGAGAATCCCCAGCGTCCCACCCTCCTAGTCACACTCTCAATATCTCGACTCTCCAACACGATGTGCTGCGATCGGGAGTGGCCCATTTCTTTTTCCTTTCTTTTTTTGGGTCCTGTGGGCACCCTAGACTCGGTCCGCGTGCCTCCTCGTGTCCCGTACCGTTCTCACACCATCCATAAACTCACTTTGGCCTCACTGAAGCAAGCCCTCAATCCTGAATCCTCAGATTTTAGATTAGGACGCTGTCCACCCCCTACACGTCGGCTTTAGAGAGTATCAGGTTGTTGAGTTCGCGTCGAGGCGGGAACACCGGCCTGCCCTCATGAAATATCTTTGTGCCACCATTGCACAAAACTATTGACATGCATCATGGTGTTCATGCTGCCGCTTTTGCGCCCCCGGTTCCGGAAGAGACCCCCCAACCCCCCAGCCCCCGACACGCGGTAACCGGTGTACCGTCTCGCCACCACCCGTGGTCTGTCTCTATGCCAGTCCCGCGCGCCACGACGGAGTTGCCCTGCGGCCTGTGCTCTGCGGCGGCGGCGGCCGTCCGGAGCTGGCTGGTTCGGCCCTATCCTGCTCGCACAGCAGCCGGCGGGCCCGCACCGCCGCGGTCGGCTGCGTACGTGCGCGCGCCCCGTCCCTCTGCGCGCGCGACAAGTCTGGTCTCGAGGCCTCCTCCAGACTCGCCAAGCGGGCGCGCCTAAGGTAAGATAAGGTAGGTAAGATAAGGTAGACTTCTCCACAAAGTGGTGGGGTTAGGGGGGGCAACCACAGGCAGGAGCTGGCACGGCATTCAAAGTGCAAAGCCCGGTGCACGTGGGTGAGCAACCTGGCCCTCCCTCCCGACAAACCGACTCCCGCACACACACAAGCGGGCGCGCCTCTCCGCCTCTTGCTCGCCGCCCGCCTCGCGCCTGCGCCGGTGGCGCATGGCGACGGCATGGTCGTGCGCTCTCCGCGCGGCGAGATCGACGCCGCTCTTTGCCTACTCACGCGGGCGCCGCGTGTGAAAGAGAGGCTGCCCACAGCTCGCAGAAAAGTGCCTCCGCTCTTTGCCCGCGCGAGCGCCGCCCGCTCCGCCGCCTCCCGCTCCGCCGCCGCCTCCGCGGCCCGCTGCTCCTCCCGCCTCGCCGCCGCCGCCGCCGCGAGCGCCACCTGTTCGCAGCAGGCTCCATGAAGAGACGCAACTACTCACATGCACAGATCGTCCGCCGCCGCGAGGGACACCCGCTCCTTCCTCCGGCGCTCCACCGCCCCCTTCGACGCCGCCCCTGCCCGCACCCAGGCGCACCGGCCACTTCTCCATCGCCTCTCATTGGACGTCCCCGGCTTATTCCCTCCCTCCAAACGAGCCTACTGCTCCTTCCTTGCGCGCCCTCCTCGAGCCC